TACCGTCCGCGAGCTGCAGCTTGTGCGAATTCTGGGCATTTTTCTGGTAAGCCACAGCCAAGAAATCATCTCCTTAGCCTTGATTTAACTTGGGTTACTCTAATTTTTGGTTGTGGTTCTTGAATTTAGAGGTAGGCCATGAGCTTCTTCTCTAAAATTCCCGCCGGCTTCTTCCCCTGCCAGGTCCAGTTTCTTTGCTTGCAAATTCTGGTATGTGGCAGCCCTTTAAGCCTAAAATTATCCATTTAGTTTGCTGCCTTGTGATGTCCGAATTTGGCTGAAAATTGGGGATGAATTCCGGTAGCTTTAGGACAAAGTTTAAGCATTTATTCAAGTGGAATTTATGTGATTGAGTGTTAATTGACTGCTGTGAGATTTGGGAGAAAAATCCCGTGAAATTAGCTAGTGTTTTGGACAATTATGGGAGTGAAGTTACTGTTTACAGCACTGTTCACAGCACTAATGGGCAACAATAGGAGGGTTTAAATGTGTGGTTATATTGAGAATAAAATTGAGATATTCCGTCATATGGGTATTAATTTTTGGATATTTGATTAGGTTCATAATCGTTCTGTCAGTTAGCACTAAGATTGAGTCTTCAGTTTTATGCAAGTGAGATAAGTAAATTTATGGTAACACCCGTACAGTTTTTAAAAGCATGTTTTGACTTGTTTTTGAAGTGGTAGTGGGACTAAACCCGTTTTATACAAAAATGAGCATGATTGATTTGAAATAAGATTATTATTCTTTTTATTGATTTGAGCATGCCTGCTTAGAGTTTATTTAACTGCCCTGATGATCTGGAAAGTATCTGTAAAGTATGATTTTCTGTTAAATTCTGCCTGTTTTGTCTCTAATATGGTAATGTTATTCGTGTGCCCGCTAGTGGGAGGTTTATAAATGCTAGCACATGTCGACATGTTACTGATAGAACCGGTTCATTTATATTATCCTGCTAGTGGGATTATACACTAGTAAATCGTGTGCCTGTCAGTGGGAGGTTTATAACACTTACCGTGACCTATAGAGGAGGCGTCTATTTCGTTCCCGTACTGTATCCGTTTTCATGATTACACTTGTTGGCATGCTATAAGTTTAATTAAGGGCACTCCATATTTACTTACTAAGTTTATCTCATAGTTTTCCTTATCCACCATTTCAGGAAGCGAAATCGAGGACGAGGAAACTACAAGAAGTGATGAGTTAGAAGGCTAGCCATTTCGAGATTTATATAAATTTTAGAAATAGATCATGATCTTGTAAGCTAAACTATATTTGGAGATTTTATAATATCAGAGCAGATTTATAATTTTATCTTCAGATTTTGATGGTATCAGATGTGAATTGGACAAGTTCCGAGCCTTGTACATTTGTGGGACCCTCTCACGAGTGCACGGTGTCTGCCACATCCCCGGATTTGGGTTCTGGGGCATGACATTCATGATACTTAGTTTCGACTACCGACTAAACAAAGAAAGTCATTTCATTCATATATTGGTCGGTTAATGGTTGTTAACCATCGGTTAATACTTACAAAAAATCAATTGGTTTGGTTAATTTAGTTAAAATTAGTTTTTAGACCATCTATTGAAAGCCAACCTAACAACACTTTAGTTCAAGTGAGGTTATTGACACACCCCAATGGCTAATGCTATACCTGTTTAGGCTTTTTTTGGGTTAAAGCTTCATTTTGGTCCTTGAACTATTGTACGGACCCTTAATTTGGTTTTTAAATTTAAAAAATCTCTGATTTGGTTCCTATTGTTTACTTAGTTGACTCCAAGTTGGTCTTTCCATTAAAAATCCAGTGTTAACTCATAGTTAACTTACGAGGAATTAATGAAATATTAAAAATTTGAGACACGTCAGATAAAATTGATGACATGGCAACATGACATGTCATATTCTTTGCCAACACAAAAAAAAAAAAAGTGGCATTCCCTTGTTATGGCCCATTGGTGGCTACTGCAGCCTAACAGGGTTATTGGTGGATTGCACCCCTGATCAGTGTTCGAACCTTGCCAAGAGCAGATACTAACTTAACTTCTAACCATTTCCTCTGTCAAAAAAAAAAAAAAAAAAGAACCTACCAAAATTACAATTTTGTCTTCATCTTCTTCCCCATGCATCTTTTTCTCAAAACTTCTTCATTCATCCTTTTTTCTCTCTCTCTTTGCCTTTTTCAAGTGGACTTTCATCACCATTTTTTTAAATCAAACAATTAATTCAATGAAATAGAATTCCATTCTTCATCAATCAATTTTTCTTCATCATCAAACAACAAAACTCACAAAAAAAAAAATTCTTTTATTTTTTGCCCTTGGGTTGGGCTCGAAGAAGCCTAGCTTCGACTGCTAGGTCTGATGGAACCTTGGAACCCAGCTGCCGTTGGGGTCCCAGGGGAAA